TTGTTATCTCTGACTCCAGCATCTGCAATTCTTACTATCTCTGCTATAGATTCAGTCCTACTTTTCGAAACTTTGAAGGTTCATTTAGCTCTGCTGGGACCAATGAAAAGGAAAGATATGGTTTTCTGGAATTTACTTTCATTTTCCTCAGTATTCCCATTTTCTTTAAAGACCTTGCTCAAGTGTAGACTCTTCAGCTCCTGGTCCTGGCTTTGGACACATATGGACTGCTTTCCCAGTCTGTTTCCACAGTTTCCTTCCTTACTGTTTTCTGCTACAGGGTCTATTAGGACCTTTCTTCCTGTAGCTTCAAACTAGACAAATCTTCCAGCTTCTTTTCCCATCAGCAATTCCAAATTGAGCTGGAACCAGGACCTGCATTCAACAAGATGAATGATAATGTTAATATTTTCCCTATTAGGTGTTATAAAATGCAGGCCAATCATTCACTTCCATTAGCTCTCCCAACTCAGAAAGTTGCAGCCTGAATAAGACTAAATCTGGGGCGCATCTGCCTCTACCTGTTTTCATACGGAACTGTTGGCTTCTGACAGCAAACACCCAGGCAATGTGTAACTTTCAATCTTACTTCGTATGTTTAACGCTATACAATAATTACTGCAATGTTTAACTTTGTTCTTCCTTTCTACCTTGTTCTTAAGATTCTGTACCTAGGTGCTTGTTAAGATGGCACCTTGTGTGATGACATTATACACTGTTATACTCCCCACTGATCACCGTCTTACTGGCAAGGTGGCATGCTTTAGGATGGTTCAAATAGAAACACAAATAAATTGCATTATCTTCAACATAACCTTTTGACTCTGTCATCCACATGAGTAATATTTTTCTTGCTGATGGGGTTTCAAGACAATTTCTCCAAACTTCTTTGGTCTATTTCAAGCTGAGAGATAGCCCATGGTTTTTCACTAGCAACACTGAACTGGGAAGATAAGAAGCATTTAACTGTAATTAACTCTGAGCTCATTTGCATGACATTTACTTCAGGGCTTTGAATATTTGAATCCTACAAGTTATATCCGAAACGTATGAATTACCAACTAGATATTTTCAACTCTGGGGCGATCTCCCCGCAATGAATGCAAACGAATGTTCCTAATTCTTTGTGCATTCCTAAAAGATTGAAGCTCAGTTGTGATGAACCAGACTACAGGGACAGGCAGAGATCACTGACTGTCCTTCCCCTTTAACATTGCAGATGTGAAACGCACATCTCAAGACCTCAAGTGAGCCTTATCCTCGTGCAGTAGGTTTTTCCAAGTTGGAGTTAAGCCTGCGATGTGTTACGTTTCATGTTGTAGCCAGGAAGTAATGCTATTGTGTATCATTGACTTGCCAGGCTGTGCACACACACGATGCGATTACAGAGGCAGCTCAGCTCATGAAAGAAGCAGTGGACGATATCATGGTGACCCTGAATGAAGCTGCCAGTGATATAGGAATGGTCGGAGGTATGGTCGATGCCATCGCTGATGCAATGAACAGAGTAAGTGTGCGGGTTTCAGCCCAAATTGTTCCTCTTATTGACAACTTCCAGTTACCAACCATTAACAACAACAAGTTGTGTTTATGCGTTATAAACTGTCTCACAGTGCTTCTCACAAACTTTATTTTACTGGAGAGAGTGCAGAGGAGATTTATCCCAGGATGGAGAATATCATTTACAAAGAGAGACTGGACAGACTGGGTTTGTTTCCTGTAGAGTAGAGGAGATTGAGAGGGGACATGATTGAGATGTATAAAATTATGAGGGTCATGGATAGTGTAGATAGGAAGGACCCTTTCCCCTTGTGTAGGGATCAGTGACCAGGGGCTTACATTGGGAGGCACGGTGGCTCAGTGGTTAGCATTGCTGCCTTGCAGCGCCAGGGATCCAGGTTCAATCCCATCCTTGGGCAACTGTCTGTGTGGAGTTTGCACACACTCCCTGTGTCTGCATGGTTTCCTCCCGCAGTCCAAAGATATGCAGGTTAGATGGATTGGCTGTGCTAAATTACCCTTTAGTGAGCAGGATTGGGTGGATTAGCCATGTGGATTGGAGGGTGGGATGCTGTTTGGTGGGGGTCAGTGCGGACTTGCTGGGCTGAATGGCCTGCTTCTACACTGTGTAGGTATTGTATGCTTTAAGGTACGGGGAAGGAGATGTGAGGAAACAACTTTCATCCCTGTGCTGGTGCAAATCTGGAACTCAGTGCCTTTAGGGGTGGTAAAGGCAGAAACTTTTAGAACAGTAAAGAAGTATTTAGATGTGCACTTGCAATGCCAAAGAAAAGAGGCTATAGGCTAAGTGCTGGAAAATGGAATTGGAATAGTTTGGTGCTTGTTATTGGCCAGGGCAGATTCGATGGGCCAAAGGGCCTTTTTCTGTGCTGTAGACCGCTATGACTGTATTATCAGACACAATATGACACCAAACCACACATGAGTGTGGTCAAAAAGATAAAAAGCACTTTAAAGGTGGAGAGTGTGTACAGGACAGAAACCATTTAGGGAGGAAATTCCAGAGCTTGGCACCTTAACAGCTGAACACCAGGTTGCGAAGAATGGAGTACAACTTTGGATTCCTTAAGTGGTTGGTGGAGTGGTGAGAGTTGTACTGGCTGGAGAGTGATTACACAGATAGGGAGGGGGGAAGCTGTGGAGGTGTTTGACAGTAGGGATGAGAATCTTAAACCTGAGTTATTGCTCGTCCAGGAGCCACTAAGTGGGCACAGGAGTGATAGGGGAATGGGACGTGGTGTGCGTTAGGAACTTGCAGTGGTTTCAGAGAGAGAGAGGCAGGGAGGACAGTGTTATTAATCAAACTCCGGGTTAAGTGGTGGGGAGGGGTTGATAGGGACACAGGGCAGAGACAGAACAGTTTTGCTGTTGGGAGTATGTGGCCCTGGTGATATCTCAGTAAGTGAGACGTCTCAGGAAATACGGAAGGTAAGAGCAGAAAAGAGAGAGTGAAGAGAGATTAGTGCTTTCAGTTCAGTAAAGGGGCAAATCTATGAATTCAGGGTGGGGTCACCCACATCGAAGCTGAGAGAGATCGATCAGTATTGTATCAATAATGAGGATCGAGAGACTGTGGAGAGGCAGAGACATTAAATATTCAAATACCTAAAATCACATCCAACAATATATTGTTTTGGCGGTACACACTCAGTGGGCCAATGTATTGTATTCTACAATCTCTTCTATACTGATTCTAATGGACTGAGTTCAGCTATCTGTTCATGAAATGAAGGGTTTAAAACTCAGCTCAGGGTTGAAGGTGCCTCTTAAACAGTGACTGGTCCTTTAATGAAATGATTCATTGTAACTCAGCAAGATGTGGGTTCTGATCAGAGTTGTATTGTTAGTGGAGTGTGTTGGTATCAGGGACTGCAGCTCTGTCCAGCCCACCAGTAATAGTCCTGTCATTGTACAGAGCTCTGATGAGCTGCCAAGTCAGCACATTGTCATATTGCTGCATTGACTCCAGCAAAGCCTGTCGACCAGCTACAAGGCACAAGTCAGGAGTGTGATGGAATACTCCCCACTTGCCTGGATGGGTGCAGCTCCAACAATACTTGACACTATACAGGACAAAGCTGCTCACTTGTTTGGCACTACATTGACAAGCATCCATTCCCTCCACCACTGACACTCAGTAGCAGCAGTGTGTACCATCTACAAGATGCACTGCAGAAATTCACCAAAGATCCTCAGACAGCACCTTCCAAACTCATGACCACTTCCATCCAGAAGGACAAGGGCAGCAGATACATGGGAACACCACCACTTGCAAGCCCCACTCCATCCTGATTTGGAAATATATCACCGTTCCTTCAGTGTCACTAGGTCAAAATCCTGGAATTCCCTCCATAAGGGCATTCTGGGTCAACCCACAGCAAATGGACTGCAGTGGTTCACGAAGGCAGCTCACTAGCACCTTCTCAAATGCAATTAGGAACGGGCAATAAATGCTGGCCCAGCCATCAATGCCCATGTCCTGCAAGTAAATTTTAAAAAAAAGATTCCCGACCAGTGGTTCAAACCAAGTTGATTCAGTGACCTCGGTCACTGGGTCTGTTGATGTTTGTGACCTCGGGCACGTGTTGCAGTGTTTATCCTCCTCACCATTGCTTTTACCATGTTGTAACAGTGGCGAGAGATAACGTACGTAGCCATCACATTCCTAATGTAACTCTCTGCCTTTGAGTGAGCTGTATGGCACCAGTTAAGACCCAATAAATTTCCCTTTGTATCACTAATGGGTGTTGGCAGTTGGATTCAGACAGGAACCCAATGTGCCATTCGTCATGTTCAATTCCAGCTTCTATTGCGTTCAGTCCTAATGACTGCATCAAACATCATGTGGCAATAAATGTAGTTTAACTTCTGTGAGGAAGCCTGGCCTGAGCTTCTCTTAACACCTGAAGCACCACAATCAAAGATTCCTTGCTAACTGTGTCTTCTCTTCACTAGTGTTGGTTTCCTCTCTTCCAGCTGGATGAAGGCACACCTCCGGAACCTGAGGGAAACTTTGTGGACTATCAAACCACGATGGTGAAATATTCCAAGGCGATTGCAGTCACAGCTCAGGAGATGGTGAGTGAGAATCGGGTGTGAGCGTTGAGGTCACTCAACATGAATGCTTTCGCTACAAAAATAACTACTGGCACCAAGCCTCACACAGGACATGAAATGTAAATGGGTACACCAGACTCTCTCGACACGTGTGCATGGGCGCAGCAAACACTGCAAGCACACACTTGCACAAGGACATGCTATGCTGTATACACTAATGTTCACAGGCACACCCCACACATGCATGCACAGATATACACCAGACACCACATGCATGCATGGACAGGACACATACACATGCATGCATGCGCGCACACACATTTATATACATACATACACATGTATATACACAAATGTATACACACATGCATGCACAAACATACATGCATGTGCATATAGACACAAACACAGGCACACACACAGACACACGTTCACGCGTGCACACACACGCGCGCGCATGCACCCACACTCACATCCACAAAGATGCACACAGTCAGACACACTCTCACACACACACATATACACACATGCATGCACACAGAATTTACACGCACTCATTTATACGTACATTTACACACACACGCGCACGCACATTTACACACACACACACACACAAGTGCACACTGTGCCCAGGCGCTCACTACACCTTATACACCCACGTGTACATGCATACACCATGCTATATTTACACTTACACAAGTATAGACCACATCTCATGCATGCATGAGACTTTGCTGCAATGCCTTTAACTGACCCTGTTGGCAATGCAAGCCTGAGTTAAAAATCAAATTCCTCACTAAGAGTTAATCGGAATCCAGACCATTAACACATATGTGTTTGTTTTAATTCATTCATGGGATGTGGGCATTGCTGACTAAGCTAGCATTTATTGCCCATCCCTAATTGTCCAGAGGTCAGTTAAGAGTCGATCACGTTGCTGTAGGTTAAATATTTCTCAGTAATGTCACTCCTTCAAAATCTCAACACCTCTGTGATGTGAGGAAAATTTACCCAAAATCCAGCTGGTTTCCAGGCCCCTTTTGTGGATCTGTCTGCGTTCTGAGTGAGCTGCTTTCCTTCTAAATGTTCCGGTGCCTCTCGGTTTACTTATTAACTCCACCCATTCTGCTATCTCCACAGATGTCCAAATCTGTCACCAGCCCTGAGGAGTTGGGTGGCTTGGCCTCCCAGGTGACCACCGACTATGGCCACCTTGCGCATCAAGGACGCCTTGCTACGGCCACAGCTGACACTGAGGAGGTAGGACATTCTGTTACCAGTGGAATTAACTCACCCTGTGGGCATTGCTGGCAAGGCAAAGGTGTATTGTCCATCTCCAGTTGGCCTTTAAGAGGATAATATTCCCCACTCCCTTGACCCAGTGCTGTCTTTGGAGAGAGATGAAGTCCCAACCATGTAAATTCACCTGTTTCAATTTCCAACAGCTTCCAGCAATACGGGACGTTTAAAAGCTCTTTTCATGTGTTTCTTTGATAAGGCATTTGTTGCCTATCCCTTGAGAGAGGTGTCAGTGGGCCGCCATCTTGAATGTAGCTGAGCGAGTTGTTGGGCCATTTCGGGGTCAGTTTAGAGACAACTTTAAATCGGAAAGATTTTATGACAATTGTGATTTTGTTATCATAAAACTATTGAAGCAATCTTTCTATTCCAGATTAATTTAATTACTTCTCCCAGCTGCAGTGGTCGGGGGCGGGGGCACCCTACAATTCCAAATCCTTAGTCCAATGCCTCTGGACTGCTAGTTGAGTCCAATGATTAATATGCTGCCACATCGGTCTGTGTTTCAGCTCACCCTCCCCAGAAAATCAGAACGGAGGTATGCCTCTACATTTCTCAAGAAATCCTGATTCGGAATCTCCTCTTGGGAATGCAGTGCTCCCTCCTGTTTAAAAAACTAGAAGGATCTGAGGGACAATCTGTGTGAGGTTATCATCCCCTTGGAAAATCTGACCCATAGAAAATTTTTAAATATGGATGTTTTAATCGTATTCTTTGAAGGCTTGTTTTTAGTCCTCAATTATTGGAAACGGGAGGCAAAGTGGAAGGTTTACTCTCTGTCCAGGACATTGTTGGATTTGTAGTGGTGATCCAGCAGTTTCTGTCACTGACACTTGGTGGGTTGCTCACTGCTGGATTCCCACTGTCTCTGTGAGCATTTTGATTTAGTTCCAATCTCCTGCCTTATCTCCATAACCTTGTACATGGTTTCCATTTAAAATAACCCTCTTGTGTGCCTCAATCAAATCTGGCTCCTCCACGTTTCCAGAGCATTCCAGACCCTCACGACCCTGAGTGAAAAAGATTTTTTTTTTCTCTCAGTTACATTTGCAAAACAGTGTTTGCTATGGTTCTCAATTCTTTTATGAGTGAGAACAGTTTCTCCCTATCCACTCTATCCAGACCTCCCATTGTTTTGCAAAGTTCTATCAACTCTCCCCTCAGCCTTGTCATCTCTAAAGGAATTGGTCTCAACTTCTGTTCATGGTCAACTGGTGGAGACCCATGTTGGGCTGGAAAGACTAAAATCAAAGGTTTGTGAGAAAGCAACAGTTGAGCAAAGAGCTACCTTGAGAGAGGAGATGATTCAGGTACAGTCAAGGTACATTCCCTGAAAAGGGAAAGGTCAGACAAACAAATCCACAGCTCCCTCGTGACAAATGACATCGCAGTTAAGTCGAAGAGCAAGTATACTTATGACAGGTGCCAGGTGGCGGATACAACTGAGATCTAAACTGAATACAAGGGAAATCAGAAAAAGAAAGAAATAAGAGAAGCCAAGAGGGATTATGAGAAAAAGTTGGCAGCTGACATAATGGTGAATCCTCTTCTGGATTCCCAGATATTATTATATGCAGGAGCCAAGCCATACTCAGTCATATATTTATTTACAGAGTAAAGCATTAGAAGCATATACCTCCTAACTCAAATTACATCCTGTATCACTCGTTGTCTCTCTTAAAGAGAAATATGTTAATAAACCTGTTTGGATGTCTTCATGGCAGAGAGGTCTCAAACCTGGACCTTGTGGCCCAGAGATAGGTGCACTGCTTCGCAAGAATTCCTATGTGTGCCTCAAGTTATTTTAGTCTTTTAGCCTATTCAGACATGCTACGTCACACCCTCTGGGATAGGTGGGACCTGAACCCAGATCCTCTAACTCAGTGGTAGGGAAACTACCACCCCACCACTGGATATTTTCTAATCCATCCTGTTCAGAGATGTTGTCACACACCTCTAGAGCAGATGGGACATGAACTTGAGTCTCTTGATTCAGAGGTAGGGACACTACCACTGCACACTAGATCGCTCCTTGTGTTCTTAAAGTGAAACCTCAATGAATGCCCTGCACCTGCAAATATTCAAACACTGTTTGCAAGAGTCCGATGCAGGGGTCCTCTTTTGGAACAGTGGTAGTGTCTCCACCCCTGGACAGGGAGACCTGGGAACAAGTCACACCTACTGCAAATAATATCTCTGAACAGGCTGATTAGAAAAAGTGTCAGATGCACTGACCTTGAAGACATTTGGATAAGTACATGAATAGGAAAGGTTTGGAGGGATATGGGCCAGGAATGGACAGGTGGGACTAGTTTAGCTTGGGATTATGTTCGGCACGAACTGGTTGGACTGAAGGGCCTGTTTCCGTGCTGTATGACTCTACATCTCTGACCTCATTGCTTCAGATCCCAGGTTAATAGTTGCTGTCCTCAGCCTTCTCTACCTAGAGTCAGAACAATGTTGGGGAGGGCTCAGTCATGATCTGCACTGTTTTCTCCACAGATTGGATTCCAGATTAAGACCCGTGTGCAGGACCTTGGTCACGGCTGTATATTCCTGGTACAAAAAGCTGGTGCTGTGCAGATCAGTCCCACCGACAGCTTTACAAAGAGAGAGCTCATCGAATGTGCCCGTGCAGTGACTGAGAAGGTGAGGGAGCAGCAGTCTCCCATTTCCAGTTTAGCCCTCATGCGTGACAATGCTGGGAGCTGCTGCTTTTCACCTCCTGTGTTTTTAAAAACAAAAACTGCCCAATATAACGTGTTTAGCCAAAGAAACAAAACTTTCACCCAGGCTGACAAGAAAGAAGATTACTTCTCCAATGGCCAGAGAAAGAAAGCTAAACGTATTGAACACGTTTTGAGATGGGCTGCAATGCATCATTTTGCCCGGTTTTACGCCAATTGCAAAGACATTTTTGTTGGACACCCTGATCCGCCCTGAAAGAGGCTTGCTGTTCCTCTTACTGTCGTTAGCTATCGATGCCATAAACCCTGAGCCCATTGCAACTGCAGAATAGACAGTAATGGCCAGTTAGCCAGCAACTTTGGTGAAGGAAGAGGTGATTTAGGCTCACAGTCCTGTTCCACTGAGATTACCCCTTAGTTCCTGACCTTACTTTATAGACCTACCCCTGCCCCATACCTTTGGTTCACAAAATCCACAAATGTAAAATCAACAATGGATCTTCCAAACAATGATATCTGTGAAAGAGAGTTCCAAACTTCTACCCTTCTTGTGGAGGCATCTTATATCATTTTATTGCTGAAATGTTAAACTCTAACTTTTTAGACTATTTCCTCCAACCCCACCCCGTTTAGACTCCCCAGTCAGCAGAAATAGCCCCTCCTCATCAACCCTATCTGTTAGACCACAGGAGCAGGTGTAGGCCATTCAGCCCATCAGATCACAGAGAGGCAGTGGCCTAGTGGTATTGTCACTGGACTGTTAACCCAGAGACCCAGATAATGTTCTGGGGATCCAGGTTTGAATCCTGCCATGGCAGATGGTGGAATTTGAATTCAATAAATGTCTGGAATTAAGAATCTAATGAAGAGCAGGAATTCATTGGCAATTGTCAGGAAAAACCCATCTGGTTCACTAATGTCCTTTAGGGAAGGAAACTGCCATCCTTACCTGGTCTGGCCTACATGTGACTCCAGAACCACAGCAATGTGGTTGACTCTGAACTGCCGTCTGGGCAATTAGGGATGGGCTGTAAATGCTGCCTGGCCAGCAACACCCTCAGCCCATGAATGAATAAAGGAAAAAGTCTGCTCCACCATTTGATGAGGGCACAACTGATCCAATAATCCTAAATTCTGCCTTTTCCTGACAATCCCTTGATTCCCTTATTGATTAAAATTCCCTCTCACTCAGCCTTGAATATACTTGGTGATCCAGCCTCTACGCTAAAGAATCCACAGATAAAATATGTCACATTCCCAGGAGTACTTAGAGACTTTCTGTAGAAACATCTCCTGAAATGGGTTGCTAGCCCAATAGCTTGTGCAGCCCCACTCCACACTAAGCCCACCTGATGTGGAATCTCTCCTGCACAAACTCACTGCCAGTGGTGTATTAGAATACTTTACAGGTTGACACGTATGGCTGCTGTTGTGTGTAGGTACCACAAACCACCTTTAATTCAACTCCCTGTTGCCACTAACTCCTTAAATTCTTCCAATCATTTGTCCTTCTGGCATAACACAGCTATTTATCAAGCAGCTGTTCACAGAATCCCTACAGTGTGGAAGCAGGCCATTTGGCCCATCGAATCCACATCGACCCTCCGAAGAGCATCCTACCAGATGCACCCCCTACCCGATCACCTGAATTTCCCATGGCTAACGCACCTAGCCTGCACATCCCTGGACACTCTAGGCAGTTTAGCATGGCCAATCCACCTAACCTGCACATCTTTGGACTATGGGAGGAAACCGGAGTACCCGAAGGAAACCCACGCAGACACAGGGAGAACGTGCAAACTCCACATGGGCAGTTGCCCGAGGGTGGAATCGAACCTGGGTGCCTGGCGCTGTGAGGCAGCAGTGCTAACCATTGAGCCACCATGTTAAGACAGGTTATTTATGTTGCTTCAAAACCAATAGTCCCAGGCATGGTTAATCGCCATGTTGCTTTCAATTCCTTTGCAACAGTTTGTCCTTGTCCCTTTCATCTTGGGAAACAGTTTATTCCAAACAAAATCATTGCTGAATCTTCAAATCCATGAAGAGTTGTGGAGTTCCAACGTTCGCATTGTTGCATTGCGTTTTGAACCCACCTTCCCATCCGTCAAGGACTTGAACTCAGCACTTCTAGTTCAGAGGTGGTAGCACTACCCACCCATACCACAAGACTCTCCCCCTTTTAAAATCAGCTCGATGTGACACCAAAGCTCAGCTCATTTAATCACAGGAGTTCTGAGGTCAATAGAGCCCAAGAGCAATAACTGTAATCGATTTTACTGACATACCTGACTGACTAATTAGTAACGAGAGATATTTTGTAGCTTCTCGGCCCAATCTGATTGGTGGAGGGGTGGAAGTTACTGTGTGGGTGCAATATTCTGAATGGACCTTCTTTCCTGCTCAGGTCTCCCTGGTTCTGTCTGCCCTGCAAGCGGGCAACAGGGGCACACAGGCCTGTATCACTGCAGCCAGCACCGTGTCTGGTATCATCGGAGACCTGGACACCACCATTATGTTCGCCACAGCCGGTACTCTCAACGCGGAGAATGATGAGTCGTTTGCAGACCACAGGTTAGCTTGTTCTGCCACTCTGCGCTGCCAATTGATTCAAGCGTGTGCTTCATAAGTAAAGGCTGCTTTACAGAGGCAGAGGTCAGACAGAGCAGGAGCTGGGAGAATGCTTGAAACGCCTGGTCAACGATGTGCGCTTGGCAAAGTTTTAGGAGAAAGGGAAAGAGTTTGCAATGCAATCACCTGTATAGAGACGCGACGGGAGAGTCTGGGGTCAAGACAGCTGGGGATGCTGACACAGAAAATGCAAAACAGGTTGGAACGAAAGTTGGAGAGTTCCTCGCTGCTACCCTATAGGAGTTGGGGATGTCATGTTGAGGTTCTACAGGATGTTGCTGAGGCCTGTTCTGGAGAGCTGTGTCTAGTTCCGGTCTCCCTGTTACAGGAAGGACATTATGAACCTGGACAAAGTTTAGAAGAGATCTGCCAGGATGTTGCTTTGAATGGAGGGTTTGACTCATAAGGAGAGGCTGAAAAGGCTGGGCCTTTTTTTTCTGGAGTGTAGGATATTGAGAGGTGACCTTCTAGAGGTTTATAAAATCATGAGGGGTACAGATAAGGTGAATGGCAGGTGTCTTTTCCCTGAGGCTGGGGGATTTCAAGACAATGGGCATATTTTTAAGGTGAGAGGAGAAAGAGTGAAAAAAGACATGTGGGGCAATTTTTTTTACACAGAGAGTGGTTTGTGTGAAATGAACTTCCAGAGGAAGTGGTGGATGTGGGTACAGTAACAATGTTTAAAAGACATTTGGATAAACTCATGAATAAGAAAGGTTTGGAGGGATATGGGGCAGGAGCAGGTAGATGGGACTGGTTTGAGACTATGGTCAGCATGGACTTATTGAACCAAAGGGGCTGTTTCCATGCTGTATGACTCTATGGCTAAGAACCAGGAGGTCTGCTTTGACTCACCATTGTGCAGGCCACTTGGCTCTTGAGCTGTCCCAAGTAAACACAGTTTCTCAGATTTGGAGATTTTTTTTCGCATGTTCACTATAAATTTTAACCTCACCCAGCCCAGTGGGAACACAGTGGGTCCGAGACCGACTTAAGACACTGCCTTACTAAGGTCAGGATTAAGTGGGTAAATAAGACACGAATTTAACTCAAATCTTCCGACCCAGTGAGTTAAGTTGAAATCAGGCCTTAGACATTTTGATTTGAGCTGAGGCATCGTGTCACTTCTTTGTAAGGAATAATACCAGTCCAGGAGTGTGGTACTTAACATAAACTGGCCTTGAATACCAGTGAGAGTGCCAACACCATGACAGAGTACAGACTGAACCTGCCACTGAGTAGGAAAGGACTGTACAGAAGGATACAGCCAAGTGTAGGAACACAGTGGCATTTGATGTAGTAATAATTGGTGAGGGTTGGGTAGGGGGTTAGTGGTGTTGGAAATCACACTCTAATCTTGCTAATGTCCCCTCCAGCTTTGCATCTCCCAGCTTCTCTATGTTTGGTGGTGCATTGCCTCCCTGGTGCCAGGATAAGGGCATCTCACAGAGGGGACACACGTGAGTCTGCAGGACAGCGAGGAGGAACCAGAGACAAAATCCATCTTGAAACCAGGTAGAGGGAAATAGAAACGGTTTCCCATTGCTGAAGGATCAATCCTCAAATGGACCAGACTCAACTTTGTTTTGGTTCATTGTTGAAAGAACGAGAAGGTGACACAAGGTGGAGATGTTCATGGAAAGAGTGGTTCAGCATTCCAGTGCTCTCCCTGCCCAATATTGAGGTGGTGACATCCAGAGGAAATTGGATGAAATACTTGGAGAGAAAAGTCATGTGGAAGAAAGTTGGAGGGTGGTGGCATACAGTGGTAGTTTAGGGACCTAGAAACACAAAGGGCCTGTGATTTCTCCCTCTCTCACTCTCATTGTCTCACCTCTTGCTCTGTCTCTTTCCCTTTTCCCCCCCCCCTGTCTCTCCCCCTCTCTCCCCCCTCTCTCCCTCTCTCTGTCTCTCTCATACCCCTCCTCTCTCTTACTCCTCTCTCTCATCCTCCTCTCTCTTACTCTCTCTCCCCCATTACGCCCCCACCTCCTCTCTCCCTGCCCCCTCTCTCCCGCTGCCCTTCTGCCTCTCCCTCCCTCTTTCCCTCTCGCTCTCCCTCTCACTCTTACTCTCTCACTCTTGTTCTCTTCTTCTCTCACTTCCTCTCTGTCTGGCCCTCCTGAATTTAATGACCTTGCTTGACAGTGTGCCACGGTGTCTGGTTTCTGCTTGAACCCTCATCACCGTGGCGGAGCGGTCTGGTTTTTACTGAACAGTGTCTGCTGTCCACAGAGAGAACATCCTGAAAACAGCCAAGGCCCTGGTTGAAGACACCAAGTTCCTGGTGTCCGGGGCTGCCTCAAGCCAGGAGAAGTTGGCACAGGCTGCTCAGTGCTCAGTCAACACCATTACCCAGCTGGCAGAGGTGGTGAAGCAGGGAGCAACCAGCCTCGGCTCCAGTGACCCAGAAACACAGGTACCTCGCTGACTTCCCAATCGGTGTGATACTGGTGAGACCGGGCGAGGGTGGGGGTGGGTGGCTGATGGTGGGGTAAGCTGGGAACGCCTGTGATTTATACCCATGTGAGCACAGGGAACGTGGTAAATATCCAACAGATACAACAAGGTGAATGTTTACAGTCACATTCTGCATCTGTTGTTGATGGCTGGGAAATAGATGCTGGCCCCTTTCATTCACAAGGTCTGTGGGTTGAAGAACAAAAGAACTGGGAGCAGGAGTAGGCCATTCAGCCCCTCAAACCTGCCCCACAATTTCATACAGTCTCATTCTTGGCTTCAACTCCACTTTCCTGATTGCTAATTCAAACTCTGTCTACCTCATCCTTAAATTTATTCAGTGTCCCAGCACTTTTTTGTTTAAAATAAATTAACAGGATTAGGGTGTCACTGGCTAGGCCAGTATGGTCCATCCCTAATTGCCCAGAGAGGAGTTAAGACAACCACATTGCTGTGGGTCTGGAGTCACATGTCAGCCAGACTAGGTAAGGATGGCAGTTTCCTTTCCTCAAAGTATGGATTGGGTTTTCCTGACGACTGATAATGGATTCATGGCCATCATTAGCCTCTTAATTCCAGATTATTTTTTATTGAATTTGGGTCCCCAGACCATTACCTGGGTCTCTGGATAAACAGCCCAGTGATAATATCACTAGGCCACCCACTCCCAACTTTATTGCATTCTGAGGGCAGTGAATTTCATAGATTCAAGACCCTTTGAGGGAAGTGCTTCAGTGAACCCCTACAGTGTGGGAGTAGGCCATTCAGCCCATCGTGTTCACACTGACCCTCCGAAGAGCATCCTACCTAATTCCCATCAAGTCAGCATTTTCCATGGCTAATCCACTTAGCCTGCATATCTCTGCATACTATGGGGCAATTAAGCATAGCCAGTCCATCTAACCTGCACATCTTTGGACTGTGGGAGGAAACCAAAATAAACACGGGAAGAATGTGCAGACTCCACACAGACAGTGGCCCAAGGCTGGAATCGATCCCAGGTCCCTGGTGCTCTGAGGTAGCAGTGCTATCCACTGAGTCACCATGCTGCCTTATCTCTGTTTTAAATCTGTCACCCCTTATCCTAAAACAATGACCTCGTGTTCTGAATTGCCCTGCAATGGGGAAGCAGAGTAGAGTTGGCCATGACACAGTTGTTAGAATCTATCCCAGCTCTCCCCCGCCAAGGTCGAAGTTCAGGGGTTCAACTTCTACTCCAGAGATGCTGATAGTTCAATGTGGTTTTATCAGGGTTACAGGGATATGGTGCGTATGGGTGGGATGCTATTCACAGGGTCGATGTGGACGTGATGGGCCAAAAGACCTCTTTCTACATGGCAGGGATTCTGTGATAAATTCAGGCAGACCAGGTATAGAACCGGGATCTTTCTGATCATCGATCATCGGGCCTCAGGCCAGCAGCGGGTGATGTGAGTTTTCAGTGATCCGCTGTTAATCATTGCTCGGTTGACAGAGAAAATGTTGTACTGAGGGACAGTCCTGTTGGTCTTTAGGTGGTGCTCATCAATGCCGTGAAGGATGTGGCAAAGGCTTTGACTGACCTTATCAGCGCCACAAAATGTGCGGCTGGCAAACCTGCTGACGATCCATCGATGTACCAGCTGAAGAGCGCGGCTAAGGTACAGGGCAAGGGCATCGGGTAGAAACGGGGAGGGGGAGTCAGTTGGAGGAGGGTCAGGTGGGAGTTAGTGGAGGAAGAGCCAGGACTTTGAGGTGGGACAGGACTTGAAGGGGTGGGAGTTGGGAGGAGTGAGAGTTGGTTTGGGTGGGAGTTGGTGGAATGGGATGAGGGTTTGGTACGGTGGGGTGAGTGTTTGGGACTGTAGGGTGGGTGGTGAGTATTAGTGGAGTGGAGTTAGTGGTGGGACTGTGGAGTTAGGGGGGTGAGTGTTGGTGAGTGGGGCTGGGGTTGGGACTGTGGAGTTAGAGGGGTGAGTGTTGGTGAGTGGGGCTGGGGTTGGGACTGTAGGGTTGGATAGTGAGTGTGGGTGGGGTTGGGACTGTGGAGTTAGGGGAGTGAGTATTGGTGGAGTCAGGTGAGGGGTTAGACTGTGGGGTTGGTGGTAGGACTGGGGATGGGGGTCCGATTGTGGAATGAAGAGTGGGATTGTGGTGTGGGTGTGGGACTGGGGGTCCGATTGTGGGATGAAGAGTGGGACTGTGGGAGGGGTGTTGAGTGGGGAAGATTGTCTCCTCTTGTGAGTGTTGTTGGCGATGTGACCACCAATTCCACATAAATTACCAGCCTTTGAGATAACCCTTACAATGGTGTAATTTGCCCTGCATTGATTTTATCATTAAATGGTTTTCTAAAAAAAATTAAAGGGGCTAAATTATGAGGATGTGTTGCATGGGCCTGTGCTCTTTGCACAAAGAGGATCACTGGATGAGCTAATTAAAAGGTTTGAGATGTCTTTTAAAGAAAGTGATTGAGAGAAATGATTTCCTCGTGTTGGACATTAAACTTCAAACTGGGCATTCAGGGGTAATGTGACGAATTGTCCCCTGACACAAGGGGAATAGAAATCCGGAGGTTTCTCCCAGAAACCTTCGAGGTTTGAGGTGTTGGCCAAGCGAGAGCTGTGGGGAACATCAACTGAAAGGAGTAAAATTGCGATTGTTGGATGTTTGCTGGGTACAAAGTTTACAGAGTCAAAATGGTGGGTGCAGTTAATATCTTGATGAGCCCTGGGTGAATCATGAACTAAATGCAAAGCAGGCTGGAGAGACTGAATGGCCTCCTTGTGTTTCTATGACAATACAATGACCTAGTTTTCCTCCCTCCTTCTCCACAGGTAATGGTTACAAATGTCACGTCCCTCCTGAAAACAGTGAAAGCTGTGGAGGATGAGGCCACACGAGGCACCAGGGCACTTGAGGGAACGATAGAGAGCATCAAACAGGAGCTGGCGGTATGTGAGAACTGTCCATCCTTGGTTCAAACCTGCACGTGATCCCATCCTACTTGTAAACCTGCACGTGATCCCACCCCACTCGTAAACCTGCACGTGATCCCACCCCACTCGTAAACCTGCACGTGATCCCATTCCACTCGTATTGATTGTAATTTTAATAATCACTTCCTAACCTTCTGACCGTTTTAAAGTGCTTGCAAATCCCTATTTTTAATCACTAGACCATTGGCCATGCCTTCAGCTGCCTAAGCCATAAGTCTTTGGAATTCATTACAAAAATCTCTCCTGGGACTGTTCCAGAATCTACAGAATTTTGGAAGATGACATTAATGAATCAGCTATTTCCGTAGCCACCCCATTTAATACCCTGGTTTGGAGATTATCAGTTCCATTAATTTCTCCATCAATGTTTTGTAAACTAATCATAGAATCCTTACAGTGTGGAAACAGGCCCTTCGGCCCAACAAGTCCACACCGACCCTCAGAGCATCCCACCCAGACCCATCCCGCTATAACCCACCTAATCTACACATCCCTGAACACTATGGACAATTTAGCATGGCCAATCCACCTAGCCTGCACTTCTTTGGACTGTTGGAGGAAACTGGAGCACCCGGAGGAAATCCACGCAGACACGGGGAGAATGTGCAAACCCCACACAGACAGTTGCCTGAGGGTGGAATCTAACCCGGGTCCCTGGTGCTGTGAGGCAGCAGTGCTAACCACTGAGCCACCGTGCCACCCTAATATTAATTTCTTTCAGTTTTTCCTTCCTAAAAGACCCTTGCTTCCCAAGAACAAATAGGAACGTTTTTGTGTCTTCTTCTGTGCATCAAATCACAGAAGTATTATGGTGCAGAAAGAGGCCATTCAGCCCATAGTGCATGTACCAACTCATTAAATGAGTATCATTGCTTAGAGCCCATTTCCTGCTTTCTCCCCCATATCCTTGCACATTATTTCTATTTAAATAATCGTCCAGTACCCTTGTGAATTGAACCTGCATTGCCCTTCATCATATTTCCAGGCAATGCCCTTCATCATATTTCCAGGCAATGCCCTTCATCATATTTCCAGGCAATGCATTCCAGACCCTACCTACTCGCTGTGTGAAAAGAAACAACCATCTTGCTTCGCATTTGCTATTTTTAAATCTGTGCCCTCTTATTCTTGTTCCTTGTCCAAATAGGAACAGTTTCTCACTAGCCCACTCTCTCGAGGCTGCTCATTGTTATAAAGCGGAGATTGACCCCTCCCCCACAGAGAACCAAAACCAAAATGCCCAAAGAGTAGTACCTTGCCCTATAATCTGTAAAAGGAGTGTGAAAAGTCGTGTAACCTGCCATTCAGCAACTTCTAGTGATTAAATAAAATAAATCCCTGACACTCACATTAAAATCAACAAGTGATAATTTACTTATCTAACTCTAACAGTGAACAAATGAACTAAACTATTAACAACCTGAATATATCCCTTCTGACTGCTAACTATTCCTGAATAAAGCAAGATTCTAATGGCATACTGTTCCAATAAATAGAAGTCCCACTTATATTAAAAAAAACTAGGATTTAGACTCTTGAAATTACAGCCAGGTTACATGTCTTCCAGAATGTTCTGTGCCTTCTCTGATGATTCTTCTGTCAGGAATATTAACATATCAATATTTCTTACGATGGGATTGGTCCTATGTTGTCAAAACCATCAGATTTAAATTTATTTGGTTTTTGGTATCTAAGTGCCTGGTTCAAATTGATTGGTTGAATTCAAAATCTTGTTGTCTTGGTAAGAATTGCTGTATGGCCTTTCTATACAAATGTTTCAATTTGGGCGCTCTCTGTGTACTTGCAAACTTTTAAGCTGCTGCTCATAGACATCCATTTAAATCTCTAAGCACAGAAAAAATACATCATTCTTTAAAGGGACCATGGAATTTACAAACACCAAATTCTAACTCCCTGCCTCCCGCTTGACAAGTACTCTACCCAACTTCGCAACATGATGATCTCTTAGCCTTCTTCTTTCCAGAGAGAACTGACGTTCTTCATCTCTGGAACCATTCTTATAAATCACTTCTGCAAACTCTCTGATGTCTTCACATCCTTTTGTTATGGACCAGACCAGACCCCCTCAAAATATATGAAGAAGGTAGCCTAGACCCAAACCTTTTCTTAATTTAAAGTTTAGTGCCAGGCTTCGCATTCCGGATGCAATTTGATTGGTCAAACTATCAGATTGGAAGCAAAACACACTTTATTCAAACTCTATTGTTAAAATACACCAAAAAAGAAGAAATTAGAATAACTTAATTCTATTGGAAACCTTAACAGAATAACAGATAATTTAATTACTAAACAGTAACTGTTCTGATATAGTAACATTCCATAAACACATCCTTGGCAAAGGCAAATTCAGCAAAATAGATTTTCTCACATGATTCTCCAGCAGCAGAAAGAGAGCTCTAAGAGAGGGAAAACAGCTTCTATATCCAGCTTTAAGACCCCAGCAGATGCTACTGAAAAACTAAAACTAAAAATCCTGGTTCTATGGGAACTTAACCCACACAATCAGGCTGCTTCTATTGTTCCTGCTTTTAAAAAAAACATGGAAAACCTCACAAGCTGTTTACTTAATTATCTTTCAATAGACAGCTCGGAACCTCTGTCATAAAACTCTTTTCAAAAATAATAGGACAAAGTATACCTCTTAAAGCTGTGGTATTGTCACACTTCTTATAATATGGTTCTAAGAGCTGAATGTAATACTACAGCTGTGAAAATAGAACAAAAAAGGTCATTTAGTTTGTTCTGCATCTTTAATTCCCCTGTTTCAGACTGTAAGGGACCTGAATCTGTGCTCACTAATCTTTTTCTTTGTACATGGTATTGAAGCTCTTACAGTCTACTTTTATGTTCCTTTGAAAGTTCACACACATGGTCTATTTTGTTTCCTCTCTTAGTCTTGGACCTCCTTTGCTCAATTTTAAACTGCTCACAGTCTTCAGGCTTGCTACGTTTCTAGCAACTTTATGTGACTCCACATTGGGACTAATGCTGTCCTTAATTTATTTTAGAAAGGGTCCATGGCCACTTTTTCCGTGGTGTTCTTTCAGCCAAACAGAATATATAACTTCTGCACTGCATGTGTTCATTCCTTAAGTATTAAACATTGCCTATTGATGTTCATTTAATGAAGTAACTGAGTCTATTGCAGCCAACTCATCCCTCATATCGTCTTAATTTCCTTTTAGATTTAGGACCTTAGCTTTGGATCAACCTACTTCACTTTCTAGCCCGTTGAAGAATTCTATCATTCTGTGGTTACTTTTTCCTAAATGTCCTGTCACAAACAAGATGATTAATTAACACTTTCTAATTGCACAAAACCAATTCTAGGATTGTTTATCGTTTAACGTATTTTTCTAATCAACCTGTTCAGAGATGTTACTACACACCTCTGCCTTAAAGCGCCAGGAACCTGGATCGGCTCCATCCTCGGGCGACTGTCTGTATGCAGTTTGCACATTCTCCCCGTGTCTGTGTGGGTTTCCTCCAGGTGCTCCAGTTTCCTCGCACAGTCCAAAGATGTGCAGGCTAGGTGGATTGGCCATGCTAAATTACCCAAGTGTTCAGGGATGAGTAGATTAGGTGGGTTATAGCGGGATGGGTCTGGGTGGGATGCTCTGAGGGTCGGTGTGGACTTGTTGGGCCGAAGGGCCTGTTTCCACACTGTAGTGATTCTGTAATCTATGATGAAAAGCTTCAACAAAACAGAATACTTTTCAGCAATGTTCAAGTTGTGTACTACCAAATAATTGTTTGCATATTGCTACTGTTATTCCAGTAACATAGCCAACTGCCCTACTGATATACATGCAGACTTATAACTGAGAATATTTCCAGGGAAGAGAGACCTCAGTCACAAGGTTAGTTTGGAGAAGCTCAACTTGCTCTCCTTTAGACATGAAAGGGTTAATTGTAGGTTTGATAGAGATATCCAACTGGTATAACAAGATGCTGTAGATTTAAGGTGATTGAGAACAGAACCACAAGATGACATGAGGTAAAGCACTTTTAGGCTGTGAATGGTTAAGGTCTGAAATACACGGCCTGAGAGTGTAATAGAGACAGATTCAATTATGGATATCAAAAGGCAGTTGAATAAGGACCAATTTATTGAGAGAAAGATGTTCAGGGCTATATAGAAATGGCAGGGGTCTGGGCCTAACTAAATTGCTTTTGCGAAGAGCTGGCACATGCTTGATGGGCCAAGTGGCCACCACTTGCGTTACAGACATTCCCCGATTCACTGCCCCATTGTGCCTTTTTAATGATCTCTGTCCCTTACACAAATAACAGGTTTTCCAGTCGAAGGAGGCACCAGCAAAGACCTACTCCCCAGAAGAATTTATCCGGATGACAAAGGGCATCACAACAGCAACTGCCAAGGCAGTGGCAGCAGGTAATTCCTGTCGCCAGGATGATGTGATTGCAACAGCCAACCTCAGCCGGAAGGCAATCATCGACATGCTGACTGCCTGCAAGGTAAGCCAGCATCTCTCTCTGGTCACCCAGTTAGAGTTTGAGGCTTGCCTCCCAGGCGTAACAATACTGAAATGTGAATTTGTTTGTCCGGTCAGCAAGCTGCATACCACGCAGAGGTGGGGGAGGATGTCCGAAACCGAGCCTTACGCTTTGCTACTGAATGCACTGTTGGCTACATGGAGTTACTGGAGCACGTCCTTGTGGTGAGTGTTGTCTCATCTTCACACCATAGAACCACTTTTCCTCTGTGTCCAACTCAGCAAACATATTGGGAAAGTTTTAACGTTGTTGTTGAGATTAAGAGGTGGATCTTAATTGTCTTTGACAATATATAGATATAAAAATATTGTCAAAGATAGCTGGGACCCTGGGGTTGTTAGATGAAAGCTGTAGGACTGGGCAAGTCCGTAAACTGTCTCCACAAAGAAAAGCTATCTGTCAAGGCTTCTATCTCATCGACAGGATTGGAATCTTTTAAGAAAAAGAGCCTGCATGAGGTTTTGGAAATATTAAGATAGAGGAAAGATGTTGTTAAACTTGGAAGGGTTCATAAAAGATTTACAAGGATGTTGCCAGGGTTTTGGAGGGTTTGAGCTATAGGGAGAGGCTGAATAGGCTGGGGTTATTTTTCCCTGGAGCGTCAGTGGCTGAGCAGTGACCCTATAGAGGTTTATAAAATCATGAGGGGCGTAGATAGGGTGAATAGCAAAGGGTTTTTTATTCCCGTGGTAGGGAGTCCAAAACTAGAGGGATAGCAAGAACTGCAGATGCTGGAGCCAGAGACAATACAGTGTGGAGGTGGAGGAACACAGCAGGTCAGGCTTTCTTGCTCCTCTCCTGCCTGGCCTGCTGTGTTCCTTCAGCTCTTTTCTGTGTCATCCCAAACTAGAAGGTATAGGTTTAAGGTGAGAGGGGAAAGATTTAAAAAGGACAACTTTTTTCATGCAAAGGGTGTTGGGTGTATGGAATGAGCTGCCAGAGGAAGTGGTGGAGGCTGGTACAATTACAACATTTAAAAGGCATCTGGATGGGTACATGAATAGGAAGAGTTTAGAGGGATATGGACCAAATTCCGGCAAATGGGACTAGGTCAGATTGGGATGTATGGTCAGCATGGACAAGTTGGACCGAACGGTCTCCGTGCTGCACAAGGGGTCCCGACCCGAAATGTCAACTTTCCTGCTCCTCTGATGCTGCCTGGCCTGTTGCGTTCCTCCAGCTCCATACTGTGTTACCTCTGACTCCAGCATCGGCAGTTCTTGCTATCTCTCTATGACTCCTAAGTTCCTCTCATTACATCTGGAACATTTGGGGTTTTAGGGAATCATCAGTCTAATCCACGGTGATCTTCTCTGAACAGGAACTAGAGTAGACAACTCAAACCCTTTGAGCCTGCTAGACAATTCTGGTTGGATGTTCCTCACCTTTTCCAACTGGGGGAGGTTTGGAGGAAACGTATGAAGGCTTCTGTTGCTCTTGGTTGTGTCGAGATTTACATTTGTGTTTTTTTGTTCTTCCTGTTGTAAAACTTTGGAATGCTCTGCTTTTGTTTTGGAACAGATTGTTCAGAAGCCCACAGCAGAGCAGAAGCAGCAGCTATCTGGATATTCCAAGCGGGTAGCAGCAGCAGTTACTGAACTGATCCAGACAGCAGAAGCCATGAAAGGTTGGCATATTTTTTTCTTTAACCTCTGTTCTTTTGTGGGATGAGGGCATCACTGACAAGGCCAGCATTTTTTGCCCATCCCCCAATGACCCTTGAGGATGAATATCTTGCTGGGCCATTTGAGGGGCACTTAAAGGCCGACCACATCAATATGAGTATGGAGTCACATTGAGTAACGAAGGATACTTGTGAACCGGATGGGTCTTACCAGCTGTTGATGTTAGTTGCCATGCTCGCTATTTTTGAGACAAATTCACAATCCCAGATTTAGTAACTGACTTTAAATTCCGCTGTCTACCACAATGGGATTTGAACCCATGTCCCCAAACCATTAGCCTAAACCTCTGGATTACTTTTTGTTACTAGCCCAGTGACATTACCACAAGGCGGCACGGTGGCTCAGTGGTTAGCACTGCTGCCTCACAATGGCAGGGGGCCAGGTTCGATCCCACTCTCAGGTGACTGTCTGTGTGGAGCTTGCACGTTTGTGTCTGCATGGGTTTGCTCCGGTTTCCACCAACAGCCCAAAGATGTGCAGGTTAGGGTGGATTGGCCAGGGTAAATTGCCCCATAGTGTTCAGGGCTGTGTAGGCTAGGTGGATTAACCATTGGAAATGCAGGATTATAGGGATGGGGTGGGTCTGGATGAGATGCTCTTCAGAGGGTTGGTGCAGACTCAATGGGCCAAATGGCCTGCTTCCACAATGTAGGGATTCTATTCAATGACAACCTCCAATTGCAGCATCAAGAGAGCAAACGTAAGAACTAGGAGCAGGATTAGGACATTCTGCCCTTCGACCCCTTTCTGCTATTTAATACCATCATGGCTGATCTCATCTTGACTTCCACTCCACATTCCTGCGTACTCTCGATAACCTTTCAACCCATTACTCACTTTCCTCCCTTATCTCTATAACCCTTGATTCCCTTACGGATGAAAAATCTGTCTATCTCAGCCTTGAATATACTTAACGACCCAGCCTCGACACACCTTCGATAGGGTTAGAATTAGGGCTAGTGGTAAAGAATTCCACAGAACCCTCAGAGAGGAGAAATCCCTCCTCTCTCTGTCTTAAAACAGGTGACTCCTTGTTCTGAGATGATGCTGTCTTAGCCTAGACTCTCCCAGAAGGAGAAACAACCTTTCCACATCTTCCCTTCAAACTCCCAAAGAATCTTGTACATTTCAATAAGGTCACTTCTTATTCTTCTAAACTCCAGTGAGTACAGGCCCAATGCATTCAACCTTTCCTCATAAGGCAGTCCCTCCATAGACTGGATCAACTGTGTGAACCTTCTCTGGACTGCCTCCAATGGTGATCTATCTTTCCTTAGATAAAGGGCCCATAACTGTTCAGTGTTCCAGCTATGTTCTGATTCGTGCCTTGTTTAGCTTTAGCCAGGCTTCCTTTATTGAATACTCCATTCCCTTTATGATATTATAAAGAGATTGGAATAGACTTGGTGAATGGGCAAAACAATGAACAGTGGGTCTCAGTGTGAACAAGGGAAATATCACTTTGAACATGGATAGGACATGAATAGCCAAGGTCTTTTTCCTAGGATGAGGGGTGGAACTCCAAAACTAGAGGGCATAGGTTGAAGGTGAAAGGGGAAAGATTTAAAAAGGACCTGAGGAGTAACATTTTCCTCACAGATGGTGGGGTCTGTATGGAATGAGCGGCCAAAAGCAAGTGTTGACAATTATAACATTTAAGTGATCTGGATGGATACATGACTAGGAAGGGTTTAGATGGATATGGGCCAAATGGGACTGGATCAGTTTAGGATATCTGGTCAGCAAGGATGAGTTGGAACGAAGGGTCTGTTTCTGCGCTGTATGACTCTATAAGTGATGTCCACAATTCCACTCCCCTTTTTGTGAAGATACACTTCCTGAATTTTAAGATTCGGCCTCTTGTTCTGGACTTACTCTCACTTCCACCACCAAAGGAAGTAGTTTCTGTCTACACCATAAAATCTTGAATCATCACAAAACATTTCGCTTTTCTTATTATTCACTCACAGGGTGTGGGCATCGCAGGCTGGCCAGCCTTTACTGCCTGCCCGTAGCTGCCCTTGAGAAGGTGGTGGTGAGCTGCCTTCTTGAACTGCTGTAGCCCACCTGCTGTAGATAGACCTATAATGCCCTCAGGGAGGGAGTTCCAGAATTTTAACCCAACGACACTGAAGGAACAGCAATCTTATTTCCAAGTCAGGATGGTGGGCAGCTTGGAGGGGAGTTTGCAGGGGGTGGTGTTCCCATGTATCTGTTACCCTTATCCTTTTGGATGGAAGTGGTTGTGGGTTTGTCACAGGAAAGTACAAGCCTGGTCCTTGTAAACTGTTCGCACACATTAACTCTAAAGTCCTGTTACTGGTAGTATTCTGATGAGGTTGCTCTGTACCCTCTTCAAGGGTTCTTCCCAAGATGTGCGGTCAGGACTGAGACACATGGGGTCTAAGCAGATGTTTTAACTATCGGAACTGGATTTACTCTTTTGCATTGCAGCTCTGGGGATACTTGCTGACATTCTCTTCATACTAATTATTCTTGTATTGGTCCATGAACATGTTTCCCCTTGTGAGAGAGTCTCGGAACAGACAGCACAATCACAGATTAAACAGTCGCACACTTAAGACAGAAATCAGGAAGAAGTTATTCTCTCAGAGGATAGGGATTAGTACACATGCCTCTTGAGGCTGGGTCATTAAGTATATTCAAGGGCTGGGATAGTCAGATTTCATTATGAGAATCAAGGGCTATGGGGATAAGGCAGGAAAGTGGAGTTGAGGATTATCAGATCAGCCATGATCTCATGAATGGCAGAGCAGACTCGATGGGCTGAATGGCCTAATTCTGCCCTTATGTCTTTTAATGTTTTTAGTGATATAGGACAGGGAATTTAGAAGTTTGCCAATAAATTGATTTACAACCAATGTACTGTGTTAGCAGTATTGATGTAAATATTGTAGCTGATCAGATTATGTTTAAAGCCAGTAAATACTTTTTCAGTAAATTGAATGTCCAAATATTCAGATTGTATTATTTTTATTCAGTAGTGGGACATGGGGGTCACTGGCTGGACCAGCATTTATTGCCCTTGAGAAGGTGGTGGTGAGCTGCCTTCGTGACCCACAATGCCCCTAGGGAGGCAATTCCAGGATTTTGACTCAGTGACAGTGAAGGAACGACAATGTATTTCCAAGCTGGGGTGGCGAGTGGCTCAGAGGGGAACTTGAAGGTGCTGGTGACGTTCCCATGTATCTGCTGCCCTTGTCCTTCTGGATGGGTTTGGAAGGTGCTGTCTGAGGACCTTGGGTGAATTTCTGAAGAACTGTAAACCACCCAACTGAAAATGGTGATGCAAGCACAGAAAGGGGACAGACAGGGTGTGGTTGGCACCCTGGGATTACAGCCTTTCGGATCGGAGCACCGTGGCAAACAGAGAGCTGCGCGCTGGGAAGATGAGGCGCGCCGCCCATTGCGTGCTGAGATCTGCCCGAGCAGTAGCGGGAAAACAGCTGGTACCTGAAGCCTCTGCATGGCCTCGGAGTCTGTATCCGCCTTCACCTTACACGCCACCAGGAGCTGTGCAGTGGAAGCTGCCACTTGCTTGGCTGAGGAAATGAGCTTCTCCTCACTGGCGTGTCCTTGTACCGATGCATTGGCTGCCTCACACAGATTGCTTGTTGCAGCTGCTACCATCCGGGCCTGGAAAGAAAGACAGAGAGAGAGGAAAAATAAAATGTGTGAAAGATGTCAGAATTCTTGACTTCACACGGCAGCTGGGCATACATTACCGTCGCCATGGACGACGATCCAGTTCATGGAATCCATTCTCCTTCTCAATATGAGAAAACACGTTTTAGAGTAGATTTGTAGCTCGGGTAGTGGATGTTGTGGTTGGTTGTCTCGCCGAGCTGGTTCGATGTTCCGCAGACGTTTCATTACCCTGCTGGGTAACATCATCAGTGCAACCTCCGATGAAGCGCCGTTGTGTTTTCCCACCTGGTATTTAAACTCTGGTGTCTGTTGAGCTGGGTTACCTCACCTCCGGTTTTCCTTCGCAATGGAGTGTATATGGGGTCTAGCTCTATGTGTTTATTAATGGCTTTCTTCGTGGAGTACCAGGTCTCTAGGAATTCCTGTGCTTGTCTCTGCTTCGCTTATCCCAGGGTCCTTGTGTTGTCCCAATCGAACTGGGACTGATAATGGCAGAGGCTGCACTGATGATGTTACCCAGTAGGGTAATGAAACGTCTGCTGAACAACGAACCAGCTCGGCGAGACAACCAAACACAATGAAAACACATGTTTTTAATCTTACTTAAACTGACCCGATCTTTCTGTCCTAAGGGTGTTTCCTAAATAAAGAATGAAAAAGACAGTATTGGAACTGAAACCATCAAACTCTCAAATTCCAGTGGGATCATTCTCTGCCAAGCTCGATCACTGCCTTGAAACCCCTAGCATGTGGTGAAAACTGTGCTTATGTGACCCCTTCAAATCCAAAGGCCATGAGTTCGAGGCCCAGCCCAGAGATCTGAGCTCAAACTGCAGCTTTGTGCTGAGGGAGAGTCGCAGTGTTCGAGCTGCTTGTTTCCTTAGATAGGACAATCATTCAAATTTATTCCAAATTGGAGTTAAATTCACAACCAGTAGATTCGAAATGCTGATGCTTTCTCCCGAAAGCGGGCCGCTCTGCTTTAACAGCAGGTCCCTGAGCCCAGGCCAGGTTCCATATTGGAGTGAAGGGCTTTTTGCAGACAGTTTCTCGCTGTCCATCTATCACTCTACCCTTCATCAGTCCTCAGGCAGGACATGGAAGAGGATAAACAGACTGCGACACAGGGACAGGCTGGGGTCAGGGAGAGTGCGTTACATTTTGGATAAGATGAACAGGAGGATTTTTTTTTACAGATAGCAAGAACTGCAGATGCTGGGGTCAGAGACAACACAGTGTGGAGCTGGAGGAATACAGCAGGCCAGGCCAGAGAAGCAGGAAAGCTGACATTTCGGGTCGGGACCCTCCTTCAGATTTTGTTTTTAAAGTCTACGTTACAACCAGATTTACGAAGTGAGCAAGGTGATGTTTTCGGATGGTTGCTATATTTAAAAAAAAAAGCAGCCAATTGACTGCACGGGTGGTGCATTAGAAATTCATCCTTGCTCAGTTATAACAGTGGCTCAAATACCCCTAAACCCCCGAGCCCGGAGAAACGGACACCTACTGCAGATATGAGGCCTTGTGACCACTGTCCATCATCCACCGCATTTGCAAGAATGGCTCCAACCTGTGGGCACAGACAGAGAGAGACACACACAGCCATTAATACAGCGGCGGGATGGAACAAGTGGCTGAGACACAAGTCAGGACAAGTGGAAAAAGTTTCCTGCTCACCTTGCCTTGGGCAACGAGTTCTCGCTGGGCAACAGAGGCAGACTTCACCAGTGCACTGGTAGCGGCTGCAATCGACTTAGCAGCCTCCAGGATCTGTTCCTCAAAGTCGAGGGTCTCGTCAGCTTGCTACAGGGAGAGTAAACACTTGATTAAAGGGGGCAGTCTGTACAAAACACCGCACAGCGCTTGCCGGATTGAGTGGAGCGGAATTCTAATTTAGAAGGTAGAGGGGGGGCGTGCGCGTGTAATCTGTGTGACATAGTTACTTTGCCACTCAACTCTCATGCAAAATACTGGAAAAGTGAACTAAACCACGGGAGTACAGTGTGAGTTTGCACAAGGCGCAGTCTAATTACATTATGTGTCTTCGGTTCAAGAAATCAGCTCGGTTTACAAGCGACATTGTTTTGTCTCCAATAGCTGTTTGAGCCTGTGATAATTTACTTGTACCTTTGGAGACAGGACAGGACACTATAGCAATATGTTTGATATATAGTTGACTCGAGTAACAACCTAATATATCAAACATATCACACAGCGTCCTGCAGGAAACATCCCGCTTGCATTCAGCTTCAGAGAGACAAGAGTTCCTGACCCATTCCTCCAGACCAACCGCTAACCGGGGAGCAATGGGTGTGACTAGCTGAGATTGTTCTGGAGGCCCGAAGTACGGACGGTTCACACTAAGCTGATGCAGGTTTTACAAGCGTGGCGGCCTGGGGCTGCTCTCTAAGCCGCTCGCTGTCTCACTCACCCTGGGTTTGGCCCTCGGTTTCAACTGCTCCAGCTTCTTGGCGGCTGCTTCAATAGACGCCGCGGCTCCCAGCAGCTCTGCCTCCGCCACGACAGTCGGATCTTCGGGATCTACCCATTCCGTGCCTGAGGAAGTCAAAACATCCCCTTTAATCTCCCCGTCTCTTTAAATCCTCTAATCCAATAGGGGGACGGAGGGAGAGGGTGAGGGCAAAGGGAGAGATTTTACTGAAACTTCAGGGGACTTGCCAGTTCCAATGAGTTTTTCCACTTCCTATGTACATTCATGTCTACTTTAAACAATCCCAGATATAACGTGAGCACCGCCCCCCTCCAAAGGCCACTTAACCATTCCCAAAATGATTTAATATTTAATATTTTTAATATTTAAAAAATAAGGGATCTCCAACTTAAGATGGAGATGAGGGGAACTGTTTTCTCTCTCAAAGTATTGAGTGTTTTTGGAACTCTCTTCCCTCATAAGGTGGGGGTCATTAAGTACTTTTAATCAGAGGTGGATGGGTTCTTGACTATCAGAAAGTTGTTGAAGGTTATTGAGGGTAAGTGGAAATGTGGAGGTGAGGCCAAGCAGATTTGCCATGATCTCATCAAACGGCAGCGTAGTTTTAAGGGGCTGAATGGCCTATTTCTGCTCCGAATACATCTATATGTTCACATAGGAAAGTGACTGAGGAAGTCTCCTCTTCAGGGTATTTTGTCACTAACGTCAGCGCAGGGATTACCAAAGAATTACCACAGTTTCTGCAGCAGAATTGATGCGTTATGTAATAGGCCACTGAAATACAAGCTGAGATCAGTTACAGAGAAATGGGAGCCCTAGCAGGTAGGCTTTATAGATACAGGTACAGGGTAGGTTTACACCAAGGACACCACCTTTAACAAAGTGGTGCTAGAACCCTGGTTACCAGGATTGCAGCCCCCAAACTGGCACCAACTATTTTTGCTGGGGTGCATTCGGAGGGGAGGGATATTCGTGTGGAAATGAGGGAGAATTGCAGCATGGAGGCAGCTGCGCACACCATGGAGGCAGCTGCGCACGGGAAACATACAGCTGCACATGGGAAACATACAGCTGTGCATGGGAAACATACAGCTGCACACGGAAACATGCAGCTGCACACGGAAACATGCAGCTGCGTACGGGAAACATACAGCTGCGCACGGGAAACATACAGCTGTGCATATGAAACATACAGCTGCGCACGGGAAACATGCAGCTGCACACGGGAAACATACAGCTGTGTTGGGGAAACATACAGCTGCGCATGGGAAAGATGCAGCTGCGCACGGGAAACATACAGCTGCGCATGAGAAACATACAGCTGCGCACGGGAAACATGCAGCTGCACACAGGAAAGATGCAGCTGCACACAGGAAACGTACAGCTGTGCAGCGGAAACATACAGCTGCGCATGGGAAGCATACAGCTGTGCACGGGAAACATACAGCTGCACACAGGAAACATACAGCTGCACACGGGAAACATACAGCTGTGCAGGTGAAACATACAGCTGTGCAGGGGGAACATACAGATGTGCAGGGGAAACATACAGCTGCACATGGGAAGCATACAGCTGCGCATGGGAAGCATACAGCTGCACAGGGAAATCATACAGCTGTGCAGGGGAAACATACAGCTGTGCAGGGGAAACATGCAGCTGCCTTCGATCAGACGCGGCTTTCACCAGCATAACATTTATAAAATCCATAAAATGCAACTTGTCGGAGTTGGATATTTGAGGAAAATGGTCCAAATCTGCCAGAATCATTTGGAGAATTATGGTAGTTTACATTTTTGCAAATGGCCAGGGACGCTTTGGGAGGGGAGAGGTAACCTTTGAGGTTTAAAGTATGCATGAATGTGCACAGGAAGTGGATAACTAATTGGAACTGCCAGGCTGTCAAGTTATTTAAATTCTTAAACTCATTTTTTTAAAAAGAATACAATAACTTGCCACCACTGTTTGTAGCTTTCCTGGGGGCTATAATTATAGGATTAGTGCTGTGTGACTGATCCAACAGCCTATCATTATCCCAGTGGGGCAGGGGCTTGTAAATTCATAATCTGATGATCAACTCTGGGCTCCCAACACTGGAGAGAGTTGTTGACCCATACGGTACAATGGTGTGAAGAGTGCACCTTTACAAATCAACTGGAATGCTGTGTCCAAATCTTAGGAGCAGTCTTTTGGGGAGGATGGCCATGTCTTTGAGAGGGTGCGGAGAAGATTTACTGGAACAATGAGAAAATCTACTCTGAACACTCTCTAACGCCTTCAGCAGAATGACCAGAAACATTGACTTGATTTCTCTCTGCAGGCACTACCTGACCTCCTGAACTTTTCTGATATTTTCTGTTTATAGGTCAGATTTCCAGCATCTGCAGTCATACGTTTTCATTTCACTAGAATAATGTGTGACATGGTAGGATTAGAGAGTTGTGATCATCTGAAACTGGCTTCCTGAAAGGAAGGTGCTAACTGTTCCAAAAGCAACTACTGAAGCAGGATGGAGAAATGACAGAAAGGGAAGGAATAGCAGGGCTACGGGTAAAGGGTGGGAGTGTGGGACTGCGATAAATCATGGTGTAAAAGTCAAGCTTTGAAATCTTGAAAAATCATCTCTAAACAACAGACCATAAGAAATAGGAACAGGAATAGGCCATTTGGTCCCTTGAGCCTGTTCCACCATTCAATAGGCTCATGGCTGATCAGACACTCCACAGAATGACTTATAAGCTGAGAGCCTGTAAAACAGGATCGACTTAGAAAACATGACCTGCTGCTGTGGGTGGTCATCATTCTGAATTGCAGGATAAAAAAGACCACAGCTCCGGTCATTTAAATTAGATTAGTGTGCTACTTATTACTGAATGGATTAATTCTACAAGAAGTGCATTTAGCTACAATCAAACTGATTTAGAAATGTTAAACCCGTTGCCTTTGGTATCCAATGCAAGGAGCCCAGCGAATTGATTGAGAGTCACTTTGGCATCAGGGTGTGGGTCAGATTTGGTGTGTTCACTTTCAGCTTCAGCCCTTCACCATCTTCTTCACCAGTGAATTAGCTCTTCCCTTTTCCTGCCAGACCATAACACTGCTCTCTCACTAGAGAGAGACGACTCCGGGGGGGTGGTGGGGGGGAGGTTTAACCTGAGGGTCACCACGCCTCAGATGAGGGGCAAGAATTAGAAGGAGACTCCTTCAAGGTGACCTCAGCCAGCGTTGGCATCACTCTTCATCGCAAACCATCGATCCAGCCAAGGGGACTGAATCTGTGAAATTCTTTACCACCGAGGTCGGTTGAGGCTGGGTCGTTAAGAATATTCAGAGTTGAGGTAGATTTTTAAGTCAGTAAGGGAATCCAGGGCTATGGGGCAAAAGGCAAGAGAGGAGTTGAGGATTATCAGATCAGCCATGATCTCACTGAATGGCTTGGCAGATTTGATGGCCAAATCTGAATGGCCGACATCTGCTCCTATGTCTTAACGTCTTACGTAGCACAGAGAGTTAGCACATGGGTAATTTGGAAAGCAAAAGGAATGTTTTCCTTTATTGCGAGGAAGGTGAAGTTTAAAGGTAGGCATGTTTTGCCAAAGCAGTACAGGCGTTGGTGAGATCACAAACCTGTGCACTACAGACAGTTTTGATTTCCTTATGTAAGGAGGGATTTTGCACTGGAAACTGCTCAAAGAAGGTCCATGTAGCCGTTTGCTGGGATGATGGATTATTTTATGAGGATGGGGTGTGGAATTTTGATCTGTATTCATTGGAGTTTAGAAGAAGGAGAGGTCATCTTACTGAAACATAAAAGATTCTGAGGAGGCGTGACAGGGTAGATGCTGAGTGGGCCTTTCTCCATCTCTAGGGGATGGGATCTAGAATGAGGCGGCAAAGTAAGGGGTCTCCCATTTAAAATGGAAATGAGGAAGGAGTTTTCTTTTTGTCGGGGGGTGGGTTGAATTCTCTTCGGAAAGCAGAGGAGGCAGCGTCACTGAATTAATTCAAGACCAATGAGGAACTCGGAAGATTATGGAGGGCGGACAGGAGTAAGATCATCATAATCAGATCAGCCATGATCATATTGAATAGTGGAGCAGGCTCAAGGGGCTTATTTCTTATGGCCTTTCAGTCAGTAGGAGTTTTTTAATACAGAGGGTCTTTAGATTCTATTGCAATCTACAGTCTTTGTCAAGGTTGGCTGAAGGGGGTAGGGGGTGAAGTGATTGTTTAAAGGAATATAGCAACAAAGACAGCAAATGGGATTGGGACTACTGTATGGAGGATAAACACCAGCAGAGATTGGTTGGAGTTTGTACAAATCACTATGGTTCAGGATTTTTAAACTACTAGAAGAAGCACTGCAATTCAGAATGTTCACAAGTGTTTTGCGAACCATTCATAGAGCCATACAGCACAAAAAACAGACCCTACGGTCCAACCAGTCCATGCTGACCATGTTCCCAAACTAAACTAGTCCAACCTGCCTGCGCTTGGCCCATATCCCTCCAAAACTTTCCTATTCAAAAACTTATCCAAATGTCTTTTAAACATTGCAACAGTACCTGCATCCAAAACTTTCTCTGGCTGTTCATTCCACACACACAAGTAAAAATGTTGCCCCTCGTGTCCTTTTCAAATATTTCTCCTTTCAACTTAAAAATATGCCCTCTAGTTTTGAACTCCCGCACCCTAGGAAAAAGACATGTGACATTCACCTTATCTATAACCCTCACAATTTTATAAACTTCTATAAGGTCACTCTTCAACCTCCTACATTCCAGTGAAAGAACTCCCAGCCTTTCCAGCTTATTTTATCTCAAACCCTCCATTCCCAGCATCATCCTGGTAAATCTCTTCTGAACCCTCTCCAATTTAACAATACCCTTATATTGAATGAATGCGAATGCTTTTCTCTGGAATTATCCACAAAGTACAGCACAGAAGGCAGGCCATTTGGCCCAAGTGCTGTGTGCTTGAGTTTATGTTCTACACATGGCCTCTTCATCTCACCTTGTCAACACAAATCTCTGTCTGTCTCACCCTCGTGGGACTATCAAGATTCACCTTCAGTGCTGCTCACATCAACCATTCTGTGTGGTAGCAGGTTCTGCATTTCAGATCACTATATTCTCACATCACAGCAATGTGCAATATTGCACAGGGGCCTTCAGTGGTGTGTAGTGGATCAAAGGAGCTGACCCCAAACTAACTCCAGGTTTATGGAGATGGAAAAAAAAATCAGGTCCAAATCCTGAAACTAACTTACAGCCAGCTTCTGTTGCGTTTTGTGCAGTGGGACCCTACTCTGAAATGGATTGCACTTACAGGAGAGAAATGAAGGAAACTACCACAAGATTATTTACAGAGAGTTTGTTTTGTATCAGTACAGACAAGAATGTTCAACCTCAGCCAACTATTCAGATTTGAAAACAGCAATGTGACCTTCCTGAATGTGGAATGTTGCGTAGTTTGGACACTGACATTGAGAGAGAGTTGGGAAACTGGAATAGCAACTTTTTAAGTGGATCAGACATTGGTTTGGTTCAGTGATCCCAATCTTCTCTTTCATTTCAGGTTCTGCTTCACAGACTAAAGCCTGCAATTCAGGCTGATACTCCAGTGTAGGAATGATGGAGCACTGTACCCCCAGAAGGGTAGAGGTTAAAAACACAAGGACCCATAATGACCTCTCAGGTAGGTGAGAGAGTCCATGGCACCATTTAACTGAGAGTGGGGTATCTGTCTCCATATTTATCCTTTAACCAGCTTTCCCAGTCCGTTAGACTGGAACACCTGAATGTCACTGACTTTGAGGGAGATTCCAAGGAAAACTAAATTTCCCCGGTCCGCAGGACTCTCTGCAAAAGTCTCCAAGTCCAGGTCAGTCAGAAACCTTGGACGGTTCTGATTTAATAAACTGGACAATCACTCAGAGAACGTTGTTGGATAATTCCTGGCTAAGTCTACAACTAACCGCCTGATTACAACCCCATAAAACCTGGACAATAAACTCCTCCCCAAAACCCGAATTCCCAACCCCCTCCTGTGGCTGATCTTCCTTTGACTTCCTGAACAGCCCATTACGTCCTACCTCCTATATCTCACCCACACTACACCGTTACCCCTGTACCTCACCCACACTACACCCTTACCCCTGTACCTCACCCACTCTACACTTTTAACTCCTTACCTCACCCACTCTACACCCTTACCCCTGTACCTCACTCACTGTACAACCTTACCCCTGTATCTCACCCACTCTACGCCCTTACCCCTGTACCTCACTCACTCTACACCCTTACCCCTGTACCT